CCACTAACACATACCTGGTAAATTACCCAGTGTTTTTATTTATATAATCTTAAAATAATCTTAATATATCGTATAAAAATGTGTATAGCATATAGTAGCTTAATTATTTTCTGTAGATTTTTTTTATGATCTTACCAACAACAAACAAATTTTAGTGTAAATTACTCGAACTAAACTAAAAACGCTTTTTTTTCCGATAAAAAAATAAAATAAAATAAAATACGTAAAAAAAAAAAAAAAACAAAGAATTCAATTCGATCGATTATAAATTAACAACGAAATTCTAAAGCAATTAAAATTCCATCTTCCGTTCCACAAATTAACCATTCGCGAGTCATTAAAAGGCACTTGATACCGCAATCAACTTCAACAAGCGCAGCAGCTGGAGCAAAAAGGATTTTCTCATGGTCATAAGATTGTGTGAAATGATCTGACACGATATGCTTATAGACATTCTTATTAATTCTATTATTATTATTAAATGGTCCAATCAAATATTGTTTTTGTGAATTATAAATACAATTTCTTTTTCGATTGGAATTATTTGTGTTTGATGATGATGATGAAGGGTTAGTATTATCATCATTGCGGTTTTGCCATGATCGCACTTTAATAAATCCATCTGAAGATACAGAAACGAGTCTAGATGAATTACATTGAAGATCCCATACTATGTCATCATGATCTTTTGCACTGCCAATTAATTGACCTGTGTTAAAATCCCATATATGAATAGTAGAATCGGCAGATGATGAAATAATTCTAATTGTTTCAATAACATTTGGATCATTATTAACATTATTATTTCTTAATATATTTGATGATGATGTTCCTATTTCTTCTATTGAATTATCATTATCTATTTGAGGTTCATTATCATTGCTATCAATAATATTATTAGTATCATTGGTCAAGTTCAAATCATCTAGATCCATATAATCACCAGCTTCAGAAACATCGGTACCGCCTGGTGATGCTGACCTGGATCTTGTAAATTTTGATGTATTGATGTGAACTAAATTATTGTGATGGTTGTCTTCTAAATAAGAATTTTCTTGATCAAATGATTCGATTTGTTGTTCCAAAGTATCTTTATACCATGTCAAGCAAGTGATAGCTCTGGTATGACCTTCTAATCTTTTAATTATTCGAGGTTTTTTAATTGATATATTTTTGATCAATGATGATTTTTGTTTTTGAGTATCATTGCCATTGTCAGCATCATCATAACAGAGATCCCAAACTAGAATTGAATTGTCATTTGATCCAGAAACTAAATAATATTGACTATGTTCTTCATTATGATCAATGATGTTATTTGAAGAAGGAGAAGGATTTTTGGGAATCAGTGATAAAGTACCTACTGTTCCTCCAATTCCACCAAGTCTGTGCAAGCATTCACCGTTTTGTAAATTCCAAATACGTATAATTTTGTCTACTGAACCAGAAAATAATAAAGTTTCATCTGGAAACATGGTCAAAGAAATTATACCAGCCAGATGACCATGCAATCTATATTTTATTGAATAATTATTATCAATAGTGTATACAATTATTGTTTTATCCCAGCTACCAGATACTAATATTGATTTACCTAAAGCCAAACATTGAACAGCTTCGGAATGATAATCTAAAGTAGATAAAGGTTTTTTACTAGGTAGTTGCCAGATTTTAATAGATTTATCAAAAGATCCGGTATAAAACAAATCTTCGGAACCAGATATACATGTGATTCCTTCTTTATGAGCTTGGAAAACATTTTGAGTGAAATGAAAATTCTCCCAATTCTGTTCAACCAAAACATTATGTCTGTAAAGCTGGAAATAGTAATCAGTAGCTAAAGTGTTATGTTTAAAGGATTTAGGAATGTCTGAAAGAAAATCGGCGGACGTACAATGCTTCTTCCAAAGAATATTGTCTGTAGCACGAACTTTCCAAGCTTTAGAAACTATTTTAGAAAAATTAATTAGAATTTTTCTATGTAAATAAATCGGATCAAACAAATTTAAATATATTAATATATATATATCTAAATACCTCTTCTTATTAGGCATAAAGTTTTTGGATCGATCAAAGAAAGTAAATGTTGTGCTAGCATTGGTTGTATTCCTGAAATTATATCTTTTTTCCGGCGTTTTTTTAGAATGTATTCTGACAATTGTTGAAATTCACCATCGGAAAGCTTTTCTATTAATAGCTGCACATGACTTAGGCAACCATTTTGTTCTTCAGATACCCCATTTGACAATGGCATTTTTTGAGAGCTACAGGTCCATACGCAAATCCCAATAAAAAACAGACATCTTATATTCTTTTTTAATAGTTAAAATAGGGAACGATTTACGATATTTTATATTAAGAAAATAAAGATTCTGTCAAAAACTATCATTTTGTCACATGGAAAATAAATACACGTGGCGTTGATATAACCTTATCTTAACAAAAAAATTGTTTTCATTGTTAATGTGACAATGTGACAAGAAAATATATGTAAGTGAATACAATAAATAACAAGTATTCTTCGAATCGGGATCACTATATTTATTATTATGTGGTTTCTCTTATCATTACCAAAATACTTGTATCAGAACTTGTTTTTCTAATCTCTAGTAAGGTAAAGATCATCTTTTAAACTTCACGGCAATAGTAATAACATTGCTCGAAAATTTAAAAAGAAAATTAACTTATCATTTACAAGTCATTACAGTATAAATAAAATACACGCGAGATTTATTTTGAGCTTTTAATTATCGTATTATAATAAATTTTTAAATAAACAATTTTAGGCATGTATTTGTAAAAACGTCGACTAGATAATTTTTTTTTGGAATTCTAACGTGTCATCATAAAATAATCAGAACCAGGTAATACGAAATTGGTGAACTTGTAACCGTATGTGGAAATCTAGTAAAAAAGTTTTTTTGTACTTCTAAATCAGTCATGATAACAAAAAAAAAATATAGTTATGTGAAAAAAATAATAAATAATGATACTAGATTAAAATGTAAAGTGTGGTGTAGGCGATTGGGATCAAGTATGATAATTGGTTCCATTATAATCAATCAATCACCTTATGTAATGTAATGTTATGTAATATAAATTAGGTAGGGTAATGAATAAACAACAATGACCCTTGAGATTTTCTTGCAGAAATAATACATTATATTATATATTATGCATGTATAATCAGGTTTATGGATGGCTTAGAGAACGAGTGAGTGTGAGAGCGAGAAATATTTTATTGATAAAATGTTGCCAATTATTCATTATGATATATTTTTAGCTTAAGTTTTTTGCATTCGCACATGAATTTATTTATATTATCTTGATTATATTTATATTTTTTATCTGTTTCTAATAAGGTTAACTATTATTTTTATTTTTTTTACGTCATGTACGTGCCCCTTCAATTATGGATGCATTAAGCCATTTATAGAGATGAATATTTATATAATTGCCGGGAAGCTGACTAGGAAGTTGCAAAGCTATTTATTATGCCAAATTCACTATTAGGCACTTTTGACTAAGTCTAACCAAAGTTGAAAAAATGAATCCTTGTGTTATGTGGAAATAACATGTATTATGTGAAAGATAAAAATCAACTAATAGGTTTATGACTCTAGCCTCAACACCCGAGGATAGATAGATATTGCTATAAACTAATAGTTAATAACGGTATAATTTGAATGCCGATTGAAAAAAATCATTTGTAGTAAATAATAATTCATCAATAAAATTTTTTTTATTTCTACTTTTTTTAAAATCAATATCTCGTGATATATGCGTTCCAGACTCTTCAAAGTTTGTAAAAATTTTACTTTGTGTGGTTATTAATCTAAAAAAAGCTCTAAATTTTCTCCAATAAAAAACGATTGCAAGATAATTTCAACGAATATACGTTTCCTGAAAGAAGTATCTGATTTCATTTTTATTAATTACGCAAATTTTTCATGACAAAAAAAGAGAAATCTTTTTTCAATGTTGTACGTGAAAATGAATTCGCAATTCACATATGTGAAATTCAAATTAGCCAATCAGAATTTCACCCCACTCCAATTTCACATACAACAGTAATAAAGACCCTTGTATTTCAAATAAAATACATACACTCTGGACAAAAATGTTTTTCGCGTTAAAATAAAACTTATATATATAACATTCTGAACATTCTTACTTTTCTCAAAAAGTTTATATTGATAATTATGAAATTTTGCGCGTTACATATATTCAGTGTTGTTGTGCGTGTTTTTTGGTAATAAATAGACCGGATACTTTTTTAGTTCTAAACATTAACATATTAATATTATTTTATCAGGTAAATTAAAAATTCGGGATTAGATATGGGCATTATGCAACTTTTTAAACATTAATTTGCATGATGCGCATAATGCGCATGATGATTTTTTCTATAAATGATTTATTTAAAAGTATAAATTTTATTCTTTGTAAATATAACAAATATAACCTAAATAAAAAATTACTTTATAAAAATAAAATAATTAATTCAGAAAATGAAAAATGAAGTCCATAAGAAAAAATAGCAGTTGCAAATAAAATTTCAAATTCTTGTTGCTCTGCAGAAGAAATTCTATCAATAAAATTAATAATTGAAGTGTTAACTAAAGGAGTTGCTTGAGATAAAGAAGAAGAGGAGGAGGAGGAAGTAGAGGAAGTAGAGGAAGTAGAGGAAGTAGAATTCTCAGATTGTGATGATTGCGTAATTATATTTTGATTTTGTTGAAAATATTCATTAAGTACATGATGTGAAACTTTGGTACATTTCTTAAGGTGTTGTTCACAACGATTTGCAGCAGCAAGCAATTTATGTGAACAATAATTACATTGAGCTCTTTCTTGTTTATAAGTGGCCTCATGGCCAAGCTTCATAAAATGAGACCAAATTTTACTAAGCGGAGGCATAAAATAAATTTTTTAAAAAAATAATTCGTGTAACATTACATATGTGCATTTTAAAAAATTTAGTGCGCATAATGCGCATTATGCATTATGCAATTTTGCCCATCCCTATTCGGGATATGTCAAAATTACCAAATTTGGTAAGCTTAACAGTCTTCGAGTAAACATTTAAATGTGATCAAAACTAGATCAGCAGGCATTTATGAAATTGGTAATTTTAATATTTCTTTTGCAGAATGGTTTAAGAAATTCTGAGAAAACATTATTGTTGAGCCAAATGACTATGGTGTTTCTTATAAAGTAATTGGGTTTGAAGAACTGAACAAGAAAAAGCAGCAGTTGAAAAGTTTGAAAAAAGCAAAAAATATAAACTAACAGAACCTTCTTCAGGAAAGTTTTGTGGCTCTCCTCAAAGATTTGAAGTTGCTTTCTTGTCGCCAGCTAAGAAATTTTTCTTGCTTTAAAGGAAGGTTTAATTGAAGAATTAGTTCTTATAAGTGCATTTAGAATAGCCATTTTCCTTATGCATATGGGGGGGGGGAAAGAAAAATTCAAAAAAACCTTTGGCTATTTTCCTCAAACAAAATGTGAAATTTACATGCAGACAAAGAGTAAAAATGAGACTAAATACACTCCAAGATGATGTAATTGAATAAAAACTAACCATCCTGATTTTGATATGTTAATTGATGATTTTGCAGAAATTATTTCAGAATGCAAAGAAAAGTTTGCAAAGCAAGAAAAAGAAATTTTTTTTGTCCTTCCTGATTATAAAGCCACCAGACATATTCAAGGTCCCAACTTTTACCATCTTAAGGCTAGTGTCAGTGATTTAAAAGATGAAGATTTTATCAAAGCAGAATATAAAAACAATACTTCAAAGAACACAGAAGAAAAGTTTGATGGTAAATCTATTTTATTATGAATAGGAGGTGTAACTTTAAACACAGTTTTTATAATTACTACGTTTTATGTTGTCAAAAGAATAAAAAACAAAAAACAAATCAATACTATAACAATGAGATTGTTTTCCTAAGGATTTCTGCTTTTTGTTGGACAATAACACATTTTCATTTTGTTTTCTTTTTTTGATGTTTATTATTTTTCTTTCCTCTTGGTAAATTTCACAATTTATTCCTTCTTTTCTTAGATAAGCTTCTAGTGTCTGAGTATCATTTATTTTGAAAATGTAAAGAGCAATTTTTTCACCTTGTTCCTTTTTAAAAATACTTCTAATGGTACTATAATTCTTGGGATCCATGGTAGACTGATGTAAATGAGTTTCATATTAACTATTTTTATATAGAGGTAATTCTATATATCATTTAAGAAAAAGGAAAGATAACAAATGGGACATTATAAAACTGCTAAATTATAATCACATTACAATTGTGATGATAATGACTAAATTTTGAACCCTGAAATCCTTGGTTCACTTTGTCTGGTTTTGTTGCAGCATGCCCCATAAAATAAATGCCAGTTCTTACTATTAATATGCAATGTCCGTTGACTACCAAAGTTAATATTGATAACAATTATTTGTATAATAATAAAAGAGATTATAAAAAAAAATTAGAAACATAAAATAAAAAAAAATTTGCATAATAATGACAAATGCTAAAACAATAGTATCAAAATTGGTTCTAATCAATAATAATTATAATTATAATAATGATAATAGTGATGATAATAACAATAATAAACAAAGATATATATCACAAAGGTGAGACAATGACCCAGGTTGGGAAGAAGAAGAACCACCATATTATTACTTGTTCACTACTTATTTATCATATTTAATACTTATTTGTTTGGGCATGTTTGTGATTTTTTTGGAAAAAGGTTTAAAAAAAAAGATTATAGACATTTAAAAGAACAAAATGTGTGTTATAATAAATTATTATTTTATTTATTTTTCTAAATTTCTTTACTCCAAAATTCAATTAATAGGGTTATGCACCTTTGAATTCAGATTTTGATAATTTCTATATAAGATTAAAATTGCAAATCAATGATTGTTTTAATTGTCCTGTCACTGGTGTACCTGGTAGAAAAATTACATTGCTTGAATGAGGGACCAAAGATTACTGTAAAAATTTTCAATTGACTGGTAAAACCAGAGATTGTTTAAATCTAAGTAGTTATAATTATTTGGAATTTGCTCAGAATGAAGGTCCATGCGCTGATGCTGTTGAACAGACAGTTAGAAAATATGGTATTTCATCTTGTAGCTCAAGAATTGAAGTTGGTACATTGGATCTTCATTTACAAGTGGAATTACTGATTGCCAGATTTGTTGGTAAGCCTGCTGCTATGGTTGTTTCAATGGGTTATGCTACTAATAGCACCACTTTTCCTGCTTTGGTTTCAAAAGGTTGTCTAATCATATCTGATGAACTTAATCATAGTTCAATTGTGTTTGGTAGTTGTCTATCTGGTGCTTTCATCAGAGTTTTCAAACATAATAGCATGGAAGATTTGGAAAAGTCATTGAAAGAATGTATTAGTCAAGGACAACCAAGAACCCATTGACCTTGGAAAAAATTTTATTGGTTGTTGAAGATCTTTATTCCATGGAAGGTAGTATATGTAATCTGCCAAAAATCATTGAATTAAAAAGAAAATATAAAGAAAAAAAATTTTTTTTTTACATTTTATTATTATTATTTGGGAAAATCAAATTATTAACTGGTATATCATTATTATGATGTATAGTTTTATTTATATGTTGATTAGGCACATAGTATAGGAGCACTGGGTCCAAGAGGTACAGTGTGTTTCAAAAAAAATGGCACGCATAATGTAAATTCATTTTGAAAATTTTTGAAATAAAAAAATTTTTTTTCACATGATCAAAATGATTGGATAACTTGTTTATGTGATAATCAATCCTTGTACATATTTATCACATTGTCTGTCTTTATTTTTTTGACGTGCAAACTTTGTAAAAGATGGTTATTGCAAAATTAGAAGCACAACGTAAAACAATTTTACATTTTTGGATGAATGGTGTCCATTTACCAAAAGAAATACATGAAATATCAAAAATACCCCTTCGTACTATTCAAAGAAATTTAAAAAAATTAAAAGAGACAGGCACTATCGAACATAAAGGCGGCAATGGTCGTCCATCCAAGGTTACACACACTTTTGCACGTTCTATTGGGCAAGTTATTTGCCACAATAGTGCTGTTTCAACATGACAACTTGCAATAAAACTTCAAGAAACGCATAATGCATCAATTTCCCATCCTACTGTATGGAGACATATGAAAAAAAAAGATTATAAGAGTTCTGTGCCTATTGGAACACCGATGTTAACAGCTCGCCATATTGAAACAAGAATGGAATGGGCACAATCTCATATGAATGATGATTGGAGCCATACAATTTTTACTGATGAAACGGCCTTTGACTTGTTTCGTAATAAAATTTGCAGGTGGCATAAAAATGGGCAAAGACCAATTCGAAGATTGCCAAAAAATCGTCAAAAAGTAATGGCCTGGGGTGGCATTTCGTTAAAAGGCAAAACATCGTTATTTTGCTTTACCAATATTATGGATGGACCTTATTACGTCAACATATTGGAGACTCAGCTTTTACCTGCTGCACAGAGATTGTACGGTAGAAACTGGCGTTTACAACAGGATAATGATCCAAAGCACACATCGCGTGTTGCAAAAACTTTTATTGATGAAAAAAGAATCCATGCAATGGACTGGCCATCCAACAGTCCTGACCTTAACCCCATTGAGAACATGTGGTATATCGTGAAAAATAATGTTGAAAAAAGAATGCCAAGGAATGTTGACGAATTGAAGAGATTTATGGTTGAAGAATGGGAAAAAATTCCTCAGGAAACAGTCAAAAATATTATTATGTCTATGAAACGGAGATGCGAATTGGTCTTAGAAAAAAACGGGGATAGAATTTCTTATTAATTTTTTTTTTATTTAATAAAGTATTAGTAGGCTTTTAAATGAACATAATTTTATTTATTTATCTTGCATAATTGTTGCAGTATACGATTTTTTGTGTGCGCCATTTTTTTTGAAACACACTGTAGATGTGTGTGTGATTATTATGGTATAAATCCTGATGAGGTTGACATTTTGATGGGAACATTTACAAAATCATTTGGTGCTGCTGGTGGATACATTGCATCATCAAAAGAGACTATTGATGCTCTTTGATTGTGGAATCATGCATCAGTATATGCTGAATCAATGATGCCACCAATACTACAACAATTCTACACTTCAATATCAATTATTATGAGTGAAGACGATGCAAAAAGTGGAGAAGGCAAGATAAGATTGGAAAGATTGGCATTCAATGCTAGATATTTGAGTACAAATTTGAGAAGAATGGGTTTCATCATTTATAGTAATACAGAAAACATGTAATGTATGAACCTCTATGTATGTAATGTATGAATTTATTTCCATACATGTATGAAAAATGCAGATCATACATACATACATTTTTATTAAATTAACTAGCAATTGCATCTGTGGGTGACTAACATCACCCAATTATTATTATATACCATATTAATGTTAAGTGCTAAATAAATATATTAAAATTTTCTTTTACATTTATTCCTATATATACATCCCTACAAAAAGTTTGGGCACTTAAAATATACATCATATACTTAAAATATACTGATGGAAGAGAACAAGAACATTTTAAGTGAGTTTTAAGTATGTTTTAAGTATATGAAATTATACTCAAAACACACTTAAAATATGCTATATACTTAAAATAT